TATATATATATACAGTATATGTATTATTGCTGATTAAACTCCAGCAGGCAGATGGTAAAGTGTTACTGGATTCTGTTTGTACTCAGAAGGCAGTATTTCATAGTTCCAAGTAAGAAAACCWGATTTTTTTCCCCAATATTGGAATTCTGATTTGTAAAATCTGAGATTTCTGACCTCAGAATTCAACATGGCTGCCTCTCACATGAAGAGCAGCTGCAGCTTTCAGCTGCATTTTTCCAGAAATCCAAATCCTGCTGTTTACTTGAGGTCATTATTTCTTGTTCCTGATGTGGGCGTGTCTGCATTCACACTTMTGTTTGTTTATTTGTTTGTTTGTTTGTTTGTCATGGACAGCTGGTGCCTGTCATCCTGCCGGCTCGGTTCAGTCTGCAGTCCTGCCATCAGTGGTCAGTTCTACTAATACATACAGAGAGGAAATGTTCTGACCTTTTGAACAAGACGTGTCTTTTTATTAAAGAGAAAGAGATACAGATGGACAGTGGTGGGCAGCACTAATCTAAAAATTGGTTCCACTAGCTCAGAGGTCTGCAACCTTTATGATCAAAAGAGCCATTTGTGCTTCTTGCCTCACTAATAAAATGTGTCCAGAGCTGCAAAACAAGCTATAACTGTGATTATCAACTGGTGGTCCGTGGGCTTTTTCAAGGTCTTTTTGGGAACCTTAACGGCCATTGAAGGTAACATAAAAAAACTAAAAAAATATTGTTACTATTATTATATTATTTATTATTATACACGTCAGGACAAATAAAAAGACCATATTCATGTAAACAAGAAAAATACTGTTTATAGTTTATACAGAATTTCATAAAAACTAGTACAACTGAACTATTCAGGCATTTTTTTCTAATTCTTATTATTATGTACTAGTCTTCAAATGATTTAAAGGTAACTCTGGTGGATTTGAGAGAAAGATCATATAAAGAAATTGGAATATTTAAGTAAACAACAGGCTAGCATGAGCTAATGTGTTATTTCTTGTATTAGCAGTATTGATCATATATTTGGATACAAATTGATTTCTGTTGTGGGTATAAAAATAAAATTCTGTTATGTTTGGTCATATTTTCAAAAAGCCACTGCAGATGGACCAAAGAGCCACATGTGGCCCCATGTGGCCCCAGAGCAGCAGGTTTCAGACCCCTGCACTAGCCCTAAAACACTAACTCCAATATTTAGGTTCCCTARTTCTAAAGCACTAACATACTGGATAATTTAGCAACAGCTAATTCTAAAGCACTAAAATAACCCAGTCAACCCATTAACAATCTTCAACAGACAACATGAGTCACATGTTGCCATGTTGCTCTCTTAAGATTTATCATTGACATTCCACAGCCATATTTGTGTTCATATATTGTCAATATGTTGTCAGCTAGTGGATAAGTGACACATATGAACAAAATGTGCAACAGCTTTCACCCTCAGCTGTTAAAATTAATGTTGATCAATAACACTTAAAGACCTGAGTTAGTGCTTCTAAATTTAGCAAGTGCTAATGCACTAATACATTTTAAAATTAGCAAAAGCCCTAAAGCACTAATCAGGAAAATAGTTCCCCTATTAGTGCTTTGGTGCTTTAGGAGAACTCTGCCCACCACTGCAGACGGCTTTTAAAAAGGTTAAAACAAAACAACATTAGACTAATTTATTTGTAGATTAAGCTGTACAAACAGATTGGTTGGTTTCCTCCTGCCTGCAGGGGGAGTGTGAGTGTCGTCGTCACGTTGAGGGTCCTGCCTGTGACAAATGTAAACCTCTGTTCTGGAACCTCTCCCCTGATTCTGTGGATGGATGCTCCGGTAATTATGCTCCAGTAACCTCTTACATGACTCAGAACAGGAAGTAAGTGTGGTGACTAACTTGCTGCGTGGCGTCTCCTCAGACTGCGAGTGCAACACGGCAGGGACTCTGAGCGCTGTGGCTGAGTGTGAACAGGTCAGTTCAGCCTTTTTCCTCTGAAATCTACCTTTATTCCTGTATCTGACACAAAACTGAGTTAACCCGTGCTGCTGGTGCATGACACACAGCTCTGCACCTGCAGGGTGGTCCGACCTTACATGTAATGTCCTCAGTAGCTACGTTTCCATTCACAAAACTCTTTGATGGGATGGAAATGTGTTCAGATTAAATAATCTGAATGTATCATTTGAGCACCAAATGAATTAATTCAATCATGACAAGTGTTTCATTCAGATCAGAAGTACTGGCACGTACAGAGTAAACTTTACCTAAAAAAACACAGAAGAAGTTCTACTTCTGTTATGAACATAAATAAACGTAAACATAAAAAAAATGCTGAAATAACTCCATGCTCCAGCACTTTCCACCATTGAGGCGTTGGATAATTTTGGGCTGTTTTAAAGTTTCTAATAGAAATGCATCACAAACTGACCTGACGTATTAACATCTAGCCAGATGGACTTACGTTAGGTTGCCATCGGAGCACATGAACAGTCAGATCAGTTTAACATGATCAGAACTAGAAAAGGGTGGAATGCCCTCTCTGTGTCGGGGGAGAGTCTCTGCCTCAAGTAGAGGAGTTTAAGTATCTGGGTGTCTTGTTCACCAGTGATGATAGGATGGAGCGGGAGATGGATCGACTGATTGGGGCCTCGTCCTCAGTAATGAGGGCGTTGCTTCGGTTAGTCGTGCTGAAGAAAGAAGCTGAATCTAAAGGCAAAGGTCTCGATTTACTCTTCTGTCTTTGCTCCAACCCTCATCTGTGGTCATGAGTTGGATCATGACCGAAAGAAAGAGATCCTGGATACAAGCGACCGAAATGAGCTCCGTCATCTGGGGGGGAGCTTAGAGTAGAGCCACTGCTCCTCCACATCTGAAGGAGTCAGTTGAGGCGGTTTGGGCATCTGATTAGGATGCCTCCTGAACGCCTCCATTTAGAGGTGTTCCGGGCACGTCCCACTGGTAGGAGGTCCCCGAGAAGACCCAGGACTCGCTGGAGGGATTATGTATCCTCTCTGTCCTGGGAACACCTCGGGGTCCCCCAGGACGAGCTGGAAAGTGTGTCTGGGGAGAGGGATGTCTGGGTTTCTCTCCTGGACCTGTTGCCTCTGTGATTTGACTACAGATAAGCGGAAGAAGATGGAGATGGARAAAACTAGAAAAGTTCCTGGAGAAACTATGAAAGGGCTTGCCATGTGCCATCCAATAAATGATTTGAATTTACTGTTTGTTGGAGATCATTTTGCTCTACCACCATCCCAAATTTTAACAAAATCTGTCTAAAAATGGCTGATCTATGGTCAATTTTGCATTTTAGCTGTGGYGGCCATCTTGGATTTTTATTTAGCATTTAAAGTCTGTCAAAGCTTGTTCTCGGCTAGTACTGTACCTGTTTTCAGCTTTGTAGAAATATATTAAATGCCAGACAGCTCTCCCTCCAGGTCACATGACTGTGTGTGGCAGCTCACTGTATTCCTATGAGTTTTTGATGGTAGATTTTTGTGGTTTTCGTCCACATGATAACCCAAAGCAATTTGCAAAGCCTTCCTCTGCTTCCATTCATTCATGGCAAGCCCTAATAAGTGTTCACACGCACGTCACCCTCTCATGCAGATTACAAATTCATTCTGATCGAGCTGAATTAGATCAGAATATTCAGATTGGGGTGTTTACATGATTGTTTAAAAAATTTAAATGAATTAAAATTAGCTTATTGTAAAGAAATAATCCAGTTGGGCTTGCTGTTAATTGCATATTTGTTTTGTTGGCTGTCCCAGCACCTTGCTAGCTTCTGCACAGCGTCACAGATGCTAGCAGGGCTCTAGCTGTCATAAATAACTCAGATTGATTTTTGTGAGGTTGTGCAGGTAGAATGACCCAGGGCGCAGGCAAAATCCAAAATGCAAAATCAAAGTATTTATTAACAAAGAGTGGGCTGTTGTAGCAGCTAAAACTTACAGGAGCTTCTCACGAGAACAAGAACTCAAGGGAACAAGGAAAGCAACCACACTGACTGAAGACAGTACATTGATCAGACACAGACTGAGGACAAGACACCAAATATAAAGGGAAACTAATGAGGACAAATGAGAAACACCTGGAGGAGACACAAGAGAATACAGGTGAGCGTGGGCGGGGCTGCAGGGCAGAGAAAGACACACTGAAACACTAGAAAAACCAAGAAAACAAACACAGACTGACCACACAACTTTGTGTGGTCAAGGTCATCGGGTGAGGTCAGACTGTCCCTCCAGTATTTAATAGGCGTCATTTTCACCCTCTGTCTGTTCAGAAACTCTTCACCATGAAAGTTTTTATATGGAGTTTAACAAACTAGAGATTTAATAGTTTGTTTTCTGCATAAGCGCTTTTCTCTCTCACCATCTTTTCATACCTGTGGATATGGGGAGTTATAAATTATTAAAGTAAAAGCTGTTGGTGGAAAGAATTTTTGTTCTCTACTCTTTTATACATGAAGCTCAAAGTTATTTACTAAATCAAGAATGAAAAGACATCTAGCTGTCATTCATATACAGGTCCTTCTCAAAAAATTAGCATATTGGGAAAAAGTTCATTATTTTCTGTAATGTACTGATAAACATTAAACTTTCATTTATTTTAGGTTCATTGCACACCAACTGAAGTAGTTCAAGCCTTTTATTGTTTTAATATTGATGATTTTGGCAAAAAAGTAAAGAAAAACCAAAACTCCCTATCTAAAAAATTAGCATATTTCATCCGACCAATAAARGAAAAGTGTTTTTAATACAAAAAAGTCAACCTTCAAATAATTATGTTCAGTTAAGCACTCAATACTTGGGGAATCATTTTGCAGAAATGACTGCTTCAATGCGGTGTGGCATGGAGACAATCAGCCTGTGGCAC